TACATTTGAATTAAGCACAAAAGATTCATAGCAAAACAAAATGAACCAAACAATTATCTTTGCTTGAGTGCGCGTGAGTTCCCATATTATTTAAAAGTTTTGATTTGATTTGACTCGACTCGACTCGAGATTAGATAAATATGAACGTTGTAAAACGGTAATATTTTTCGACCGTTGTAATTTAATCTTTGTTTTATACAGGTAATGACTTCTATAAATACTCCTTATTTCGATCAGAAATCAGAAATTCTCTTTCTCGAAAATAATAATAATCAGAAATCCTCTTACTCTGTTTATCTTCTCTAGATCTCTTAATTGTGTTCTTCACTTAAAACTTTTATTGTTCTCTGTTTCTCATTAAACCGAGTCCGAGAGAAGCAAACACAAAAGCATCATCTAACAAGATAAGAAGACTTATGGTCTAATTAATCTAGTTTCGTTACCATTACGAGATTCTTGTACTCTCTCTGATAATTACCATGTTCGTTTAATCTTTCAAACAAATTTTATATTGAGTTTCAGATGCTTTATTTTAAATCCGTTTTACATATCTTCTTGGCTTCAATAATGTGCGTTTTTTTTTATAAATTCATTTTGAAGCTATAAATATGCTCTGATAAAAAAATGCGTGAAGAATAAGAGATCGATATGTTCTGTTTTTCTTAGATCAACAATATGTGTTTTGTCTGCAATAGTTTTAAATGTTTAGATCAATATGTAATATTTGTAATTTGTATGTATGCATGTACAAAAAGTTTTCGAAGAACTGAAGCAAGGATCACAAAGTAACGGTGGCAGCAATCCCAACGGTGGAACGTTGCATACAAATCTCCCCGTACCATTCAGAAATCTAAAAAGGTCAGTATTTCTACTTTGAAAGTTTCTGTAGGTTAAATTTCAAATAAATAAATAAAGTTTCTGTAGGTTTAATATAAACACTCCTCAAAATTAAAATCCTTACTTTAGATGTTACGAATATTTAAATAACAAAACTGTTTTGTAAAATTYCTTTTTACTTATCTAATTRGTAAGCAAGCCATACATATAATAAGAATTTACTTACCCGGCAATGATAGCGGGCAA